GAGATGCACTGGATCACTTCGAACATGAGCACGATTCTAACGACGACAGTTCTGTATTGGCTGAGCAACTGGGTAGACACTTGGGAATACGTTCGTCTACATCTCAATCTTCGGACGTGGAAGATGAGAATCTGCTAGATATGCTTCAGAACCGATTATTTGTCGCTCCAGAAGATCATGATCAAGTCGAAGAGGAGATCGATGAACCTTTTCAACGTGAGTCAATGGCAGTACATCACAAATTATCAAGTAAACTTTCATTGGAAGAGTTTCTAGCAGATCGATCAGTGCGAAAACTGGATCTGGATGCACAACGTGCACTTCTTGATACCTTCTCGCAGCAACAAGCTAAGACTGCGCCACTGTCACCACATAGAGTGGCTCAAATGACGGCACGATTCCGAGTATTCGAGGAGAAGAAAGCTCGTCGACTTAAAGCCAAGAGACGAGAAACGGAGACGCTAGAGAACATCGAGTATCACTTCACGCCAACGATGAACAACAAGAGTCGACAGCTCACCAGTCAATTCCCAACGTTCGCAGAGCGTCAAGCCACACTCTTAGCCAAGAAACAGCAGCAGCGAGCGAGACTGGAACGGCAACGTGAACAGGAATTGACTCGTGACAGAGCCATCGATCTCCAGGAGAGTGTGAAAACTCCCTGTATTTGCAGTCACGGCAACACCAATCGATCTGAAAGCTGCGACTTAAGTCCGTCAAAAGCTTCTGCTTCTCATGCCGATGGAGTTCGCCATACTCAGGCCTGTTTGCGGTTCATGGCCATGTGCAGTAAGATGAACGCGTCATTCGCTATCCAACGCAAGAAAGACATGATGAGGCGATCGCTGGACGATTTCATAGCTTATCAAGAAGCAAAGAAGCAGCGACAACAAGCGCGTGCTGCGATTGCAAAGGCGAAAGAGGCCAAGGAGATAACGTTCACGCCGCGGATTAATGCAAAATCTGAAAAGGTAGGAACGTAGATATTTGCTTCACAAACTGCTGACAATTTCATCCCCTTGCTGCTAGATCTACGCTGCACTGATTCGAAGCGGGAAGCTGGATTCCGAGCTCTCTGGTCGCATGGTTAAGCCTCGAAAGACTCCTCCGGTGCCGCCCAAGTTGACGTTTACACCGACAATCAGCAAAAAATCCAAGTGGCTACTTAAG